ACATAAATACCCTCGAATTAAAGCTGACATTCTGCAGTTTAACCTCATAGTCATTGTTTTATTTCAAATCCAATGTGCTGGAGTACAGAGCCAAAACAACAAAAATTGTGTCACTGTCCAAATACTTACAGACTGTTTTCAAATGTTATTTGCTTCTGTCTGTGTCTTCCTATGCTTTTACCAAGATTCCACTGGTTCACTCTGCCCAGCCAAATGGCAGCTGTAATCAGTCACCACCACTGGGGACTTTAACCTACAGTCTTAAAGCAACACAGATCAGATCTGAACTTAAAGACCTCCAGGCTGGTTTGTATAATCTGCCAAGTTTCAAGAGACTCACATTTCCCATTCTAAAGCTCAAGGCATGCTTTAAATTTAAAACACTTACAGCTTCCAGTTTTCTCATGCTGTGCTGGATAGTATAGGGCTTACTGGTATAACACTGCTGTAGGAGGGCTTTTTCATCCAGCAATGTCCAGTCATCTTCATTGCTGAGAGACTTCTAAAATGAAACATTTTTCATCATATATCTTCTCTTCATTTAGGCTTTTTTGGCTGACACTTTAATCAGAGTAACTTACAGTACATTTGCACCCATATACTGTATATAGCTAGGCATTTTCCTGAAACAATCGAAGCAAAGTTTATGAGCTCAGAATATAACCCTAGAATCTTCCAATAAAAAATAACAGCACTTACAATTACTCCACTTTTCTGTGTGGTAACAATCCCCACCTTAGTTATTTATGCTATCCTATTTACAAAATGTATTATTCATTAGAAATGCACGTAATATAAAATCAAAATTCCATGAAATGCTGCTGTCTAAAGATTCCAGTGAAACAGAATTCGCATATTAGATGGTCTGGTAGTTGGTCATCCCTCAAATTATAACTTCTGAACTTGAGGAGTATACAAAAGTTACTTCTTGACACTGCTAGTCGGACGGTGGGTTAAGAGTTTATTATCTTCAAGGTGCAGTATTTTTTATAGAATGTTTTACATGAAAGCAGAGTGTAACAGCTTCAATAATATTTTATTCTTCCTTCGTGTATCATGTCACAGAAAGAAATTTTCACACAATTAATGAATAACTTTGAGAAAATCTCTTTGTTCATAAATCTGCTACTGTAGTAATAACACAATAATAAAACAAATATTTTGCTACTCTTTAATCGGTGTACTCACATTTTTTGTCTGGCATAAAGCTGTTTAAAAGTCCAAATGTAAACTTTAAATAAGGGGTTAGTATATTAAATTGTATTAATATGTGCACGCATTAAAGAAATTCTTAAGAATCCACATTAATGGTGATAACACAAAAAGACAAATTATCATCTTCAAAAGCAATTTCCACCCAACTATGCTGTAGTGCAAAAATAAAAGCACTGCCATGAATGCATTTTGTTGTGTTGTATTGCACTGTAAATAACCAACATTTACCCAAGTCTCAGTTTCATAAAACCGCAGCTAAACCAAAAGGCCTATTTAACAAATAAACACAAAACATGACAGCAGACATCACCTGCGACTGTGGTGCTGTATGTGACAACGGCTGTGCCTCGGTCTCCAGCTTGTTTTTTTCATTTACTCTCTGTGAATGCTGCTTAAAATTCTCCTTCAGCTCCGCTTCATACTGCTTGTATTTTATTTTATATCTCTCGGAAGGAGCAGGCAAATTTTCAGGGATTGTCTTGTCTTCCCACGGTGGAGGCTATAAAACACATTACCAACAAAGTATAAAAAACAGGAGAACCTGCATCATGTAAAGTGAAAACAGGCTTTTCCTTTTCTTGTGGGAGTGTTCACTATATAAAAAAAACACTCTCACAACAAATTGTTGTTTAAAAATAGAACCACGAAATAAAATTAGTAAAATGATACACTATATTTTATTGCAATTACAGTTCTTCTGAAATTAACTTGATATTCCACACAAATTAAAGTACAAGCATTGTAGTATATACATACTATATAGTATATAGTATAGTAATAATATATAATGCAGATTTTTCTTATTTCTTTTACTTGATTATTTAATGAAAACTCAAATTTTGAGTCTTCAGAATAAATCTCGAGAGAAATGGATGTACAAAATGTGCAAACCTACAGTTAGATGTCTACAGCCCTAATCACTACTCCACACTGCTACCAGTATCTTAGACCTTCTAAAACATTAAACAAGGTCTAAAGTCTTGTCCTATAAAAACATTTACCTTTTTGCTTTCATCTGTTTTAATGAAGTGCATTTTAGAAGCCTGTAAGAAAACACAAATTAAAGAAAGCTTTATGATTTGTAATACTTCACCCATCTTGTTTTAGGGTTACAATATTATTTTACAAGGAAGGAAACTCCTGTTAAGTTGTGGCTGAGTATGAACATTTAAAAAGATATCACTATAAAACCATTATTTATTTCATTAATTATATACATTTTTAAATCCCAAAGTATCCCTCACAGAAGAAGACTGGAGGTAATGCACACATTGTGTGCCAACAGCCCCACTATACTTCAGATCATGTGAAGTGGAGTGAGAAATTGTGTCACCACTTGAATTTACGGGCAAATGTATGTAGGGTTGTTTGTGCAAGCCAAACATATTTATGGAATTTAGCCATAACAATGGGGTTAACACACCTGCTCTTACAAACAGTGCCATGGGATCTTTAATTACCAAGTCATCACGACCTTGGTTTAACATCTCATCTTAACGATGGCACCTTCTACAACACAGTATCCTCTGACATCATACTGGGGATTGGTTTGGAAATTCCGGGACAGAGGGAAGAGTGCCATCATCTGGTCCACCAGATGTAGTGACACCCTGTTTTTCAGTGTACTGTAGATCGTCTGAGATCTGACGAGATCAGGCTACAAGTGGTAATACTGCTGCACATACTGCAACATAACTACAATATGTAAATGTCCCAATCACTTTATTTGCAGCTAAAAGTGCTCATTTGCTCAATGATTCTGTCAAAGGTTTGGACAATCAAAGATTTTCTTTGTTAGATTTTAATATCAGGTATTATAATGTAGTAAGAGTATAACATTTTTAAAAGCTGTGATTTAAGATCCAGATGCAATGGGGATCGCTCAGATAAGGACAAAAAAGAAGAAAATACATCTTCGATCTGAATGAAAAAAATAGATATCCCCGCACGGTTTGCTATATAGGGCAGGTGTTTTAACACCAGTACTGATGATAAAAGCTATAAACATTCTGATGTCTAATAGGAACACAACATATAACAAAGAGAATCACTGGCTGAATTAAAGTAATAAATCAATTGAACCAAGGTATATCTATCTACACTAATGTTTTCTAAAAGATAATGGTGGCAGCATAGATATACCCAGCTGTAGACGGACCTGATGAAGGGGAGCCAATGGAGCAGACAGAGGAGACCCCCAGCTCACAGTAGAGGTGGAATCTGGGGGACCAAAACGAGGATATCCTTTGCTGGCAGGAATGTACACGTCCTGTTTTAAATATCAAAAGAATTTAAGAGAGCAGCGAAGGAAGCTGGTTGGAGGAATAAAATAAAGACACTAAAATGTTTTTTTCCATTAGAAGTATTTTTAAAATCAGAGGTACTAAATGCCAGAAGTATTCATAAACAAAATCCATGATGCATGACGCATTTTGTTAGCTTTCTTATAGCAAGCAGCAAAACCACTAGTCAAGTAACTTTTATTCCTTCAAGACTGACAGTAACTTGAGAGGTATGCAGAATTGATTCTATGCACCAGTTAACAAATAATTTAAATTTAACAACTGTTTCAGGCACCTTAGATAGTGTAAAGCGAGTGTGAAAAGAAATTTAACGAATACACAGTTTAACATATTGTGGAGTGAATTAAAAGTAAGAGTTAACTCAAGTTATACATGGAATTCTGAAACACCCATATGTTTGGCAACCTTCTTACCCAGATATTGCGGCTTCATCAGAACATTTAACAGTTTTACATCATAATACTGCTATGAGGTGTCTTAAAGAATCAAGACGCCAGGATATTGTCAACATTTCCAGTTCTCTGGGGCTTCAAAACAAGGAGATGTCTGCTGAGATGCAGAAGTTAGAGATTCAGTTAATAAAGCAGCAGTAAAGTTGACCTTAGTTACCTTGCAAAGGAACAAGTAATAGGTTTATTCCATGCTAAAAAAAAAAAGAAGAAAGAGAACACAACGTTTCGGCCGTGGA